CTGAGCTCAGGCAATCCACCCGCCTCAGCCTCCCAAAGTGCTGGGATTACAGGCATGAGCCACCACGCCCAGCCTGGAGTCAAAGATTTTCTGTGGTATCTGGTTTGGGTTTTTCCTACGGCTTCCCCCAGCAGCTGGGGGCAGTGGCAGGAAGGAGGCAGACCGACAAGCACCCACCATGGCCATGCTCCCTACGTGTCGGGTCACTGGAACCACGGGGATCGAATGGGGGACCACCAAAGGGGCTGCAGCTGTGGAGTCCAAGGGCTTCTTGGCTCCTGGGGGACTATGCCTGTCCCCTTCTGGCCTCAGCACCTGTCTTAGCGGCTTGCAAAACTCTGTGCCAAACACCTAAACACAGAAGAGAAGAGATGGCTCTTTAAGAGATAAGGTAAGTGGGGAAAGAAAGAGCTGCTTCAGCAAAAAAAGCTGTCATAGAAAACAGCAGTGAGTCTGTGGCACGGACTAAGCTGCAGAGCTGCTGCAGCCCATAGCGACGGCCTGCCCCTGGAGAGCCACACAGCCCAACTCCAGCCCCCAACCCAGAATGACGTCCCCATCCTGAGATAAGTGACACCAGTCTCGTTTACTCCCCACAGGCCTGCCAGAAACCCAGTAACCACAAAGCTACTGGTCGTCCCCCTTCACCTGCGGTTCCTGCTTCCCTTGAGGTGACGGCCACTGGTCGCTGTGAAAACACATGTGGCTGCTCAGTCCTTTCTCCGTATAAAACATCTGGCTGCAGTTCTTGCAGATGAAAGTGCTCCTGGGCTCCGTCCAGTCTGTGGAACCGCCATTTTGCTGGTTACTGTAGGTAGACATGGCAGGAAAGAAGGGTGGGAGATTGAGACTCCATCCTTGATCACTGATTCTTTGGTTTTTTTTATCTTTTTTTGTCTATACCTCCAATCCACTGACTACTCTTTTTTTTTTTTTTGGAGATGGAGTCTCACTCTGTTGCCCAGGCTGGAGTGCAGTGGCACTATCTCGGCTCACTGTAACCTCTGCTTCTTGGGTTCAAGTGATTTTTGTGCCTCAGCCTCCC